GAAAAATTCTTTATACACTATAGTTGACAGGTAAAGATAATTATCAACCTTTAAAAATAAAAAAGATACTTATCAAAATCAAAACATGACTTACGTTGCTTAATTATAAACATTAACAACATTCAAATTTCATGAACTATTTAAGTTTTAAAGAAAATAGGAACACACAAAAACTTGATAATGAATCATGTTGATACTGATTAATCTTTTTATTATTTATTCGTTGTCAGTTTTTTTTAATGGTCTTAGTGATGTAAGTTTGTGTTTCTGTTTCCTCAACCGTATATATCGGTTAATATTGCTTTCACATAATAATGATATAAAAGTAGTTTTTTTTTTTTTTAAATATGAAAGTGATTTTGATTTTTTTAACAACGCAAAATTATTAGAAAACGTTAAAACAATTCTTAACAAAATATATAAGGTTAAACAAGGGGATATATTAATTGTTGCCTATATAATCCTTTTAAAAAAATAAAAATGAAAATAAAAATTGAGATCAACAAATACTTTTTCTTTACATCTATATAATATAACATTTACGTTTTGGTAAAGTGTTGATTTTATTAAATATATGTTGTTTTGTTGATTATTGTTTTTATGTTGAAAATTATGAAATTATAATTTTTTTAATGAGTTTTTAATTATTTAAAAGGTTTTTCTGGACATATGTATAATTTGACCCTGAAGAGAGAGTAAATAAGATTTCTTTTAAGACTTGAGCTTCATAAGATAATTTCTTGAAAACCAGATAAACTAGAGAGAAGGAACTTTAAAGTTCTAAATTCTTCTTCTTCTTCGCTCAGGAGTTGTAAAAGCTCTTAATCAAGTAGCTAGTGAGTGATTCAAAGTTGTTGGAGTCGAGAATTAAAGTGTTGGAGCATTTGTACAAAGTGCTTGGAGTTCTTTCCTTCCTTCTTCCCTTTCTCTATTTCGGTGTGATTTTGAGGTAAGGAAAACTATAACCTAACTCCTTGATGATTTATGATATTGTTGGTTGTTTGATTATCATTGATTTGTAATTGTGTTGTTTAAAATTTGAAATTTTAATATTGAAGTTGAGGTTTTGTGGTTCTTAATGCATGATGAAATAAAACTGATGATTTTGGATTGATTATTGGTTGCATGCTGTGCTTTTAGTTGGAAATGAAAAGGTTATGATGTGTAGTTGTAAGGTATATCATTGCATGTGGGAAAATTTATGAATTTCAAGTGGATTGAGCAAAAAATGTGAATATGTTAAGCACAAAATTCACATCGCTTCAAGTGTGGTTTTAAGGCGTTGGGTGTGACACTTGTTAGAGGCTCTTTGTCTTACGTCAACCATTGGATCGGTGGCACATAACATGAGTTAGAAGAAAGTATCAAACTTGATAAGCCTGAATCCAACGTTGAGTAGTGCCTAATGTAGTCAAGATAGAACTCTTTACTTAAATGATGTTGGACATCAATGGTGTGACGTCAAGTGTGAGTCAAGTAGGGACTCTTTACTTGAAATAAAGTCAAACATGGGATTAGGTTATGCTAGGCAGGAAAGCAATAGGAGTTCTTTGTCTCATCCGCGTCGGGCGTGGGAAGAGTGGCACCAATCATGAATTACCTTATAAAAATATGTTGACTGTATTGTTAAAAGTTGAATATGTAAAGGTTAGTGGAATCTTTTACATACTGTATGATGATTAATTTGTGTTATATATCATATCTTGATGTATGATGTTGAATACTTGTACAATGATCTAGCATGTTGTATACAAATGACTAAGTGGTTGAAGTTGCATGTTGAAATGATGAGACAGTTGAGTTGATAATGCTTTGTCATTGAAGTTGTATTGTGTTGATTGACCTAGAACTAAAGGAGAGGTTGTTTTTAAAGTTGCATACCTTATTGTGAGGATATTGTGTTGTGAAGCTTTGAGAGTTCGACTGTTAAAAATCCTTCTTGGGAAGTTGACCCTTGAAGTAGATAGTTGAGTCTCTTCTAGGATCTTAGTTGATGTAGTAAGGTACGAGATTTGTATATGGCTAAGGTCGATATATACATGTATAAAACAACCAAATTAGAGTAAGGTACGAGATCGAGGGTTAAAATCCCTAATTAAGTATTAGAAGGCCATAGTATTTGAAGGGTAGTTGGTGACTAATCCCATAGGTGACTAAGTTATGTTAGCTAATCTCATGGTAAACTCACACTCAAGTTGTTTTACCCTAATAGGAATATTAGACATCCTAGTTTAAGTTTGAAATTTGAGAAATCATGTTGTGTTGTGAATTTTATCCAAATTGATTGTTGATTTAGTTGGATTAAAAATATTAAGTTGTTGGTTCGGTAGGATCAAGTCACTTAGACTGCTCACCTGTGTTAGAAAAGATCTCTTAATTGAAATGTGTGATGACACATATAGTTGATTTGATGTGCATATGCAATTGTGTGTTGTTGTGTGATGCATATGAAATGATATGATGCTGTTTAAATTTGAATGGTATGTTGAATTGTGTTGATATGCAATATTGTGTTATTCTAATTGATTATCATATGGTATTAAGTTGATAAGTTGTAATATATGCTATGTTGAAGCATATTGAGTTATGTATGGTGATAGTATAGTAGTTTCACTTCTGTGCTTATTGTGTTGATTTCTTTTAAATATTAGATTATTCTTACATGTTTTCATATGGTGGAACTATAATGATCATGCTTGGTATGAGAGTTAAACAGAAATAAGCTATAGTTGGAGTTCATTTTGGAGCCATGCAAGGTGATGGTGGTGCGAATCTTTTGAGTTGTCTTAGTGTAACTAGATGATAATAGTATTTCTTGACCAACAATTAGGATTTTCTTTTCATACTTAAGTAGATGATTACTATATATATATA